CTATATGATATATATAGCTAGCTAGGTCACATACATAGCTAGATAGGTGATATATATGGTTAGCTATATGATATAGATAGCTAGCTAGGTTACATACATAGCTAGATAGGCGATATATACATTGTTAGCTCGATGAGAAAATGCCGACCGGACTTGCATGCTGGGAATCAAGTTAATATCAAGTGCTAATAAACACCTATGTTTTTATACAGGTGTTTATTATCTCTTGTTAATACGTGTTAGTAAATTAGGTTCATATATACGTTGTTATGAGCATCGTTGTAACGTCGATGTGGTGCATTATTGAAATAACATGTGAAATAACGTCTGGAGTGATACGTAGGAGAACGTCTACACGTATGATCTCGTATGTGAGTCTTGTCTAATTCTTCAGACTTATAGCGCGGGTGCATGGGCACTGCAGGTGTGAATGACAAATTAGCTGTATGATAATATCGACTGTATAATGTCGGCTGACATAGCCAACAGCTACACACAAACACGCGTATACTCATGCGTGGGTGCGAACACGTGCGTGCGTGAGAACGCGTGTGTGCGTGCGTGCGTGCGTACGCGTGCGTGCGTGCGTACACGTGTTGGTGTGCAGCTGCTTGCAGTCAGATATATGTCTATAAAAACAAGAGGTCCATATGGAAGCTGAGCGCATTTTAAAATCCAAATATTACAATTAAATGAAAACAGTATCGTAAACTAATCCCTCTTTCATTAATTAAAATATACCTGCATCTAATTAGCAAGCCAGAGAAACTGCACGATTGTTTTTTTTTATAAATAATTATGGGCGTCGGAGCATTATTAAGTCTGAGAAAGATGGGAAGCCACAGGACGACGAGATACTATATTCACGCGATGAAAGAATTTCATCATGCCGAATCAAAAGAACTGAACAAATAACGAGGAAAACATACATTTTGTACATGAACGCACAAAATTGATATTTACCTTTATTTGTTTTAGTAAAAAATGCATTTTTCGTTTCTTCCATCTGCGTCTTTATTGTCTCCCCGTCTCTCGCTTTTTTATCTCTCTCTCTTTCTCACTCTCTCTCTCTCTCTCTCTCTCTCTCTCTCTCTCTCTCTCTCTCTCTTTCTCTCTTTCTCTCTCTCTTTCTTTCTTATTTTCTTTCTTTCCACTTTCTTCTTCTGATCCACAGAATGCACGAATGCTTCGGTAAAGGCCTCTCGCGTTAACCAAAGGTGCCTAATCAAGAGGCAAGCCTGCGTCGCGCGTCCTCTAACGAGAGCGCCAATTAGGTTACCCACGAAGCACTGGGTGATTTTTAATCTGCGTGAAACAGGAAAATTAGCTGCTGGTGGCTGAGTCGATATACGCATTGTGTGACAGCTATACACACGTGTGTGGTGGGTGTCGACATTCTAATGGTGCTGCTGCCCTGTCATGTATATATGCCGGAATGGAAGCGGAGAGATTCTAGAAAATGTGTGGTATATGAATTAATATTCGTGTCTATTTAGCAGGCTACCTATATAGCATACATACCGACGAAACCTTAATGACGTTTCACTTTCTATGAGTCGATTCCATCACGGTTATGTCTAGGCTAACTGTAGACGCATACTTTATATGAGTGGAATTAGTAGTTATTAAATTATATTATTGTGTCAAATAATAATATAGCAAGGCGGACATATTTAATGAAAGCGCGATTATGAAAATTATTGAAGGAATTGATTTTTGAATGTAAATGACCAAGATTAATTATAATCAATACATGATTTGTATTACCAGCTAACCTATCGTGTCATGTAATATATCATATATAT